AAAAAAAAAAAAGAAAAAACAGCAATTCCCAAAAGACTCAAGAACTCAGTACCAGGAACATTTGGATCTGAGAGAGAGCAAAGGCAGGGTTGGTATTGGGGTTGGGGTTGGGTTTGGGGAGCAGGATTGCTAAATTCAGGAAGATTGGGTGAAAGCAGAGACACTCACTAGATCTTTTCCCCTCCACCCTACACTTTATAGTACAGACAACAACCTTCCCTCACTCTACTAGAAGTCTGGAGGATTATTTTCTGAAGAAAGGTAAACAGGATTTCTTGCATGGAGAACAAGGCATAGCTGAGGTCAAGACACTGTTCTGAAAAAGCAGAAAAGTGATTGTACCAATCAGGATCCCAGCAGGAAAGAGAGTCTCAAGGGATTTCACTTGGGGTGGGGGTTAGTGAGGAGACCATTACAAAGATGTAGACAGGGTTAAGAGAACTCCCCCTAACATAGTGAGGACTCCAGTAACTAGCAACAGCAAGAAGCCTTACCACTCCCAACCCTTCATGAAAAGAGAAAGGTCTTGGCTTACAGTGCCTCCCACTGGCTGGACCCAACCAGAAGCCAGAGAGCCAGGAGGTCCAGGTGGTACATTCCTTACATGGTAAGGCAAGGAAGTGTGGAAAATGGATTCAAGTGGCCAAGAGGAGGGTAACCACCATGATGATCTTATACTACTGAAGGCTGAGAGCTGTGCTCTCCTTGGCTACCTGAAACCTGACACAACTCAGCTCTCCAGGAACAAGGAAAATTGAACAAGGTGAACTGCCTTCTTGTTTTCTCATCTGTACTATAAACAAGTGTCCTTTTTATTGTCTATGTTGTGCCACGTATTTTACATTGTGCCTTTTGTTAGTGATTTTGCTAGTTAAAATGGCCTCCAAATATAGTGTTGAAGGGCTACATGTATGGGCCACATGTATGTATGTATTTTTGGAGACGGGGTCTCTGTTGCCCAAGATAAAGTGGAGTGGCATCATCATGGCTCACAGCAACCTTACACTCCTAGGCTCAAGTGATCCTCTTGCCTCAGCCTCCTCAGAAATTGGAACTACTGGTGTTTACCACTGTGCCCAGCTAATTTTTCTATTTTTTGTAGAAACAAGGGTCTCACTCTTGTTCAGGCTGGTCTCAAACCCCTGAGCTCAGGTGATCCTCCAGCCTCAGCCTCCTAAAGATTCCACAAAATAATTATTAGAACCAATAAATGAATTCAGCACAGTTGTAGGATATAAAATCAACATACAAAAATCAATTGCATTTCTATAAACTAACAATGAACAATGTGAATAGAAAACTAAGAACAAAAGAAAATGCTTAGGGATTAACTAAGGAGGTAAAAGACTTATACAGTGAAAACTACAAAACATTTCTTAAAGAAATGAAAGAAAACAAAAAAATAGAACGATAGCCTATGTTCATGGATTAGAAGACTCAATATTAAAATGTCAGTACTACCTGAAGCAATCTATAGATTTAATGCAATCCCCATCAGAATCTGAATGATGTTTTTTGAAGAAATAGAAGAAAATATACTAAAATTCATATAAAATTTCAAGGAAT